ATTTGTAATTAAAATATATTTGAACCAATTTTCAAAATCAAAATTTGGTCAAATTAAACCAAACTTTCTCTACAAATTGTGTTACTTGTGTATATTTTTATTTAAAATGGATACATTAAAGTCAATATATTATCGAGGATTTGAGAGAGTTTAACATCTATTATTTGGATATCTATTTTCATATAATGTATGATAAAAATGTTATGCTCGATAAGATTTGTACTCTACTATATTTTTAAATAGTATTACACACTTTCTATGGCATATTGTATTTATAACATGGAAAACATTGTAGAAAAATATTATTATTGAATTGATGTTGTCCAATGGTCACTATTGTTACATAAAAATTAGTATATTTAAAATACAAGTCTTTGTATTGAGAATGTGAAGAAAAGATCTTAGAGTTAGATAAGAATAAAAGTTAAAAAAGTCAATTTCTTGTTCTACTAGTGGAATGAACAACTTTCCTTATAAAGTCAATTTCTTGTTCTACTAGTGGAATGAACAACTTTCCTTATTTTTGTAAGAAATAGTCTTTTTTTTTCTTATTTGTCAATTAGGTTTTTTTTTTGCCTATTTAATTTTGTTATTGCATATACGTTGTAAAAGGAGATATTTTGAGTTTGAACATTCTGTCTTTTGCTTTTAATAATGGGAATCATATCTTGTGATGTTCTCATTAGTAGTCTCATATTAATAAAATTATTTTTTTTAATCTTTTTCAAATATATATATATACATATATAATTGAGAGTTTGCAAGAAAATTGTATTAACTTTAAAATTTTAATTTTAATAATTTATTAGAAAACGATGGATTCAATTTTTTTAAGAATTTTTTTAAAATTATACAAATAAGTGATAGCATTATAATTGACATACTCAATTATATGAGAAATTTTTATTCTTAAACACATATTCTTAATTATAAAATGATATTAACAATTACAATTTTTTTTTTATAAAAAAAGTGCTAAAATTAAAATTAATAAATTCAAATTTAACATTAACTTACCAAGACGAACAAGATTAGAGATACAATCAAATGAAAAAAAAATGTCATAAGAACTTCATTAGAAAAATCTAACAAATGATTAAAAAAGTTAGAAAAAATTAAATATTAAATTTAGAATTTTAATCCAATTCATTATAAAATGGCTCATATACAAATTTGGGTTTGTTTTTTCTTTTTTTTAACCATATGATTTTTTTAATCCATTTTTGACTTGGGTCTTTATATTCATTGAGCATGTGCTTCCCATAACACTTGTTCCACGCCATTATTATCTTTATCCTTAAATATTATCGAGACACTTTTATATTTGTAAGTTATAATATAGACTGAATTACATCGATAACTCCTGTGTTTTTTTTTTATATTTTTTTAAGATTACATTAAATATCACTTTGTTATTTAAATTTATAGTGAGTTTCTTTAAAAGTTGAAAAGATGTTACACTCACATCTTTGTATTTTTTTAATATTGCACACAATATTTCTTCATTATTTAGATCTACAGTAATATCCCTTAAAAGTTGAAAAAATGCTACATAAAATCGAATTGGTTTTATGTTGTAGAGGTTACTGACAAACTAGTCAAGCTTTTGAGATCATTGATTCCAAAATTTTAGCCAACTTTCCTCAATTTAGAAATCCAAAAAGGTTAAGTTTTTTAGAAGTTGCATTTGTTTCAAAAGTTGTTGGTTTTAATGAAGAAGGTGAGAGACATTTTTGGAAGGAAAAAATCATTAAAAATTGTGTGCAAGTTTCATGTGTAACGACCTACCGTGGCCGTCACACTACGAAACAACACTACACACTACTAGAAAATATATACTAGAATAGTATAATAAAATATTTACAACACAAGTTTAATCAAACAACCAACAACAACTAGTTATATATAACTAGAGTATGCTACTATAAGGTAGCCTACAAAAAAATATCTATCTCTAGGCACCTCCTGTGGCCTCTAGTAGCTATCTCCCAGCCTATCACTGCCCTGCTCCCATGTAACGTATGATTATCGCAGTCCAAACCACATGGAAACATGCAAGGGTAAGCTAGAGACAATAAACAACTCATAAATATCAAATATGAAACACTATAGAATCATCTTCACATCCGACACAAAAGATAAACAACACATATATTATACATCTTTACATCATTTCAACTTGATTCCACATATCAACGTTGTATCAACACTTCAACGCAACTACTGTACAATCCATTGGAATAGTTATCATATTCATCATAACAACAACCAACACATGTGTTACACACCTCTCAACAACACATGTTTAAAACAACTTACAACATAGGTAATCTAGCGACACTAGCATCATCATCAACTTGTATAGAATTAAGCAACTTACAACATAACAACACTATCATCATCCTCAACAGGATCAACAATCACAGCTTAACAACACAACAACATAGATACAATTCTTATCAACAACAAATCAACTTATCAACAACTTATGCATCGTCGCGCATTTCAACTCGGAGATCTCCAACAACTGAGATTGAGCAATCTAGGTCTTCATATTCGCCTTTGTTCCAGGATCCTCCAGATCCCTTCCTTTCATGTTAATCCCCGAATGTGAGTAGTTTCGCTGGTGATTTTGATTTTGATTCTGATTGGCTCAGCATAACATCATTCGCTTACTCGTTGGCCACCTCGCTTTCGAAACCGTCGAAGAACACAGCAAGTACGCCATCGTCAGCATGAAACCCAACTCCATCCACGCCCTCGTCATCGCCAGCAAAAAGGAAGATCCATTTCACCCACTCGATAAACAACCACCCATCCCTCACCCCCTCGGTGAAAGACCCCGCAATCTCCACAGAGTTATCACTAGCACAATCGCAATGCACGCCGCCACCAAACACGGAAACGAAACAAATCCCAATC